AAATATTCAATTTGGCAGCCATTTTGAATGCGCCATATTTATTTTCGGTGCAAGAATTTTCAAAAATCAACACCAGATATCAAATCAACACCCTCAAAAACACAAGAAATATATATTTTCTCATTTTCCTTCATTTATCAGAATTTTTCAATTATTCGTCCGCCATTTTTAATTTTGGATTTTCAAAAATATCAATAATCGATAACAGAAGTTTGATCAGCCATATTGTTTTTGGATCGCAAAATTTTGAAAATCTGTTTGCAGATTCGGAAAGAGCAAGTCTTTTTGCTTCGGAAATGGTATTTTGCATGTCGATTTCAAGCGATTCTACCCATTTTACAAGACGATAAACCAATCGGTAGTCTCATGGTCGATTGGGAAGAAATGGGTTAAGCACAATCCGAAGGAGTTTCTGCGTCGTTTCGTGACAGTCGACGAAACATGGACCCACTGCTATACACCAGAGACCAAGGAACAGTCGAAATAGTGGACTTTACCCGACGAAAGTGCTCCGAAGAAGGCGAAGACTGCCCCATCGGCCGGAAAGGTAATGGCCACCGTTTTCTGGGATTCACAAGGTGTGATCTACATCGACTACCTGGAGAGGGGCAAAAAGGTCACAGGGCTGTACTATACCGAATTATTGGGCCGATTCGACGTCGAATTGCAGAAAAAACGGCCCCATTTGACGAAGAAAAAAGTGCTCTTTCACCATGACATCGCACCGGCTCACACCTCCGCCGTCGCCATGGCCAAATTGGTCGAATTAGTCTACGAACTGCTGCCCCATCCACCGTATTCTCCAGATTTAGCCCCGTGCGACTTCTTTTTGTTTTCAAACTTGAAAAAGTCACTCGCCGGGCAGAAATTTGAGTCGAATGAGGAGGTAATCGCTGCCACGGAAGCCTACTTTTCAGACCTCGAGGAAACGTATTTTTCAGACGGGTTAAAGAAGTTGGAGCATCGCTGGGCCAAGTGTATCGAACTAAAAGGAGACTATGTTGAAAAATAAAACGCCACTTTTCCAAAATTTTCGTTTTTCTTTTGTAGGCTAAGTACTTATCGGACCACCCTCGTATTGATCACAATATCAACGATTTAAGGGAGTTTACAGGTACTATAGTAGTCATAATCAAGGTAAGGTCGTAAGTGATCCAAGTACTACTCGATCTGGCAACGTCACTTTTTTCAAGCATGTGTCGCGTATCCGTGTGTATATATGAACGAGGATACAATGGATTATCACGTTTATTAGACCGCGACGAAAACGGCAACGTACGCGTAACGATCAATAAGAATGTTACGTACAAAATTGTTGATTACTTGAAAAGCAAGTATTAATTGTAGATAAACTACAAAACCGATTTATTGAATAATTATTTAAGTCAAATTATTGAATTATTGAATTTTAAAGAAATTTATGGTTCAGCAACGTTCATGTGATATTATCTTCATTACAACTCCAATTTCAGTAGATTTAAAAAATGACAACACTTGTAAAGTGATATTATGATTAATAAAAATATGTTTGTATTCTTTTCGCATTTGTTTATTATATTATTACTCAATCTATTATGTTGAATGAGTTACTTAATTACTTCATCATTTCAAATGTAAGTGGTCAAGCCTGCAGTGTTTGCAGGAGTTGTTTGTTTCGTTCAATTTCAAATTGCGCGCACATAACCTGATTCGCGCGACGTTGCCATGTCATGCGAGTAAATGTCCAGATCCCGTTTTCAGTGCTACTCTTTACATTTATTGTCACACAAGGAAGTAAACTTTGTTCATTATTAAGCAGAATAAATAATCCTTAATTATTCTTTTATATGCTATCTCGACTATGATTCAAACTATCCATCAGTTACATAAATATTGGGGATAACGTGCAGTAAACTCTATGACTTCTTATAAGACTCCATGTTAAATTGCCATGTGTAGTATGAAAAAAAATTGCAAATATATCTTATTCAATCTAACCTCGAATCTTGAAAATTTGTATGAGTCATTTTTGTAATATTTTCAACATTCTGCAAAGTTTGGTATTTTACTGTCCATTAATTCTACTTCCTGTACAACTCCCTTAATGAGTTGGATAGAAATTTTGAAAACAATTAGTTATACATACAAACAGAATATAAACATAAACAGCAGAAAACACCATGAAAATATGTTATATATATAAAATACACCATGGGAAACCTGTTGAGAAAATAGCTCAGGCTGTAAAGAATGAGGCTAGAGTGCCAGACATTCCGAGTTCGAGATAAGTTCCGATCACTATGTTTTTTTTTCGTTAATATTAACGTTTTAATGAACTAAAAAAGTATTTAAAATAATAATTTTATAAAAAAGTCGATTTTTATAAATAGTATAATGAAAATCAAGCTGTAATTTTACAGAAAATTCACCAGGATTCCACTTGAAAATCCAGTCTGGAATTTCTTATAGAATCCATATAATCCACATGGACATTCATCTGGATCTTTTTAAAAGGGCACCTGAATTGACTGACATCCAGCTGGTGATATATTATATCCATATAGAAATTCATATTGGATTTACAACTGCTGGAATTTATCAACGAGGATAGCATCCCTTGTTTCAACAATAAAATGAAAACATCCACTTTATATCAAATAATATATTATTTTTATTTCAGTAATTGGCATGTATTTATTTTTTTTTTTTTTTAAGATCAATAATTCGTATCAAAAATAACATCGCGAAACTGAATTTTCATTTTATAGAAGTAATTTATTACGTGACATCACGTAAATTAGACTTTTTTCCTTATGTGATTTATCATATGATACGTTATATACAATGTTATATACGATTTGTCATAAAAAAATCATATAATTTACACGTCATTTATCACGTAAATTTTTTTAGCTGAGTAGCCCTTTCAGCCCGAGCGTAAGTGATTCGATCTAACCCAATTCAATTCAATCATGTTAAAATTATTATGTTAACATTTTGGTAATTGTAAGATAGCGAAACAGAAGATCGATAGAAAAAATTGACACAAAATTTTTTTCATTTTCATATATTATATTGTAAAAGGTCTATGGGCAGTAAATAATATAAATTTTAGATATATCATAGTAATAGTCCAATAATGGTTTGTAGTAAATTGTTTATATTTAATTAAATGAATTGTAGTTTTTCAATCATGGGCCTATTCAAAATTTTGAAAAATTTTCTGATAAACTTTAGAATAACTAGAAATTCATTGATTTCTTCGTCAAATAATGAATGCAAATTAAACTTTCGATTCATCAATACATATCAATAGTCTTAATTACTTGGAGTTACAAAAAATTTTTATGTATTTATAGCCACAATAGATTATTATATTTGCTATGTAGATTGTCACAGTACAATAAATACGATAAAAGCAAAAAAAATTGTACTATGTACGCTGAACCATGCTAGTGATATAAAAATTAAATTTCTACTTATATAAAATTACTTTATAAAATATACGTGTACATTACTCAATTAGCATTTTGTAATTACTTAAGATCTGCATGTAATTTGGTGTATACTGCTGAAATTATCTATTGTTTGTAATTTATTTTTTATCCTCAAAATTATCTATAAAACAACCTTATAATACTTATATATAATATTTATAATACAACTATAAGCTCATACCAAGTATAATTAGCTATCTCAGACTTGTACCTATTAACTCTAATTTATTTAAATTATTTACTTCACTTTATGTTCAGTGATCTCAATTTAAATTTAGCAATAAATTTCTATTTGTTGAAAAAATCACATGTAAAATCTTTGTTTTTCAATTATAAAAGTTATGATTCTATAACTATACCTCAATGTTCTGATTAAACTGTCCTGCTTTCTCCTGTATTATCATTTAAATTTTTAATAAAAATCAGGAAGTTATAAAGTTTAACTTAAATTTCTTATAAAAATATAAATTTCATTGTTAGTATCATGAAAATTTATATATATATATATATACACATATGAATTATCGATCAAATTTCTTTAGAATTGACAAAAAATTAGTTATATTATTTATTATGTAAAACATTCAGAATAATAGTTCATTTAAGAATATTAATTATTTATAATACAAATAAATACCAATTAAAAGAAATTTAATCAACATTGGTTTGTATGGCAAATGATTGCATGATTTAGTATAAAATTTGGAAGTCACTTTAATTTTTATTTTATTTATCTATATCAAAACAATAATATTCATATAAAAATTTCTTAATAATCTTCATAAATATTTAACAACTCAACATAGATTATATTTTTAAATGAAAAAAAATTTGTACAATTAAATATACTTCTTATCATATTCTAGTATAAAAACCGTTCATTTACGTAAATTACAGAGAATTTGGTATTTCATCAATGAAACATCTATTTTAATACAGGAACAAAATTAATACCAGATAATTTCACTACTTAAATGAAAGACCATTCATTTAATCAGAAAAATTTGTATTATTTTAAATAAAACAGAAAGGTGTCTAGAAATTTTGGTAAATATACATATATTTTTGGAAATATGAAACAATAAAATGTACAATAACAATAAAAGCACTAATGATTGATTTTTATTTATTTACATTTTACTTCTTAATTAAAATTATGAATGATTCATTCTTCTCTAAAGTAAAATTCTGGTTCCTGATTATGACATTATACAACCACAATAAAGTTAATAATTCTATAAAAATGTAATACTTAATAGAACCATTGAATATAAGAATATATAACATATAGTAATATGAATTATTTTAATAACTGATTGAAAAAAATTGATTCTTCATAAGTCAATGACAAATTACCCTACAGGTCGAAGTTGCATTAATTTATTTTTAAGAAAATATAATTTTAGCAATTATTCTCAATAAAACACTTTTTTTACATAAATTTTAAATCTCATAACATGAAAATTAGGCAAGATTGTACAATGATTCAGAACTAATGCAGATGAAAATGGATAGAAATCATACCTAAAATATAAAGTTCTATACATTTGATGAGCTTCATAATAATTTCCATTATTAATAGAATTATCAAGTTTTAGCAAAACTCGTTTTACTCCATTACTAACATTCATTGTCTTATAAGTTTAAAGTAAAAAATTAATGGTAATTGCAGCAAAATATTTAAATATATTATCTTTTTATATTGAAACTATTTTATCTTCTAATATTAAAATGAAGATGGCGATTATATATCGAATTGAAGCATATTATATTTTCTATATCAACTTCCGTTTTGTTTATATTGAAAATATTTTTTTATTTATTTTTATTTTCAATTATTAATTTAATTATCACTTTATTTATCATTAAAATAGAGATATTGTAATGATTATATCTTTCATCGAAGCATTAGAAGCCAACTTCATACCCAACCAGAGATTAGTAGGGAGATTGCTGACGGCAATGCTTCCGAGCGTGCCCGACAAATGTTACTGGTTCGAGCGCCCCGTAGTGGCCAAAGCACCGAAGCTGTCGCACATTTTCGTTCGGCGCGAGAGGGGAATACCAAACGTGCGTCTAATATACAGAGGAGAAGAAGAGAATGTGCGTCTGACCAATCACGTTAGCCGATGGACGGGGCGAAGCAAGAGTGCGAGTTTGAGCACTCGAAGAGAATTTCGTCTCGGCAAATCTTTTCTCTTCGACCAGAATAAAGGCTTCGATTCCCACTTGATGCAATTTTTTTTTTTTTTTCATAATTAAATATCTCGAAATATCTTAATTATTACAGCAAATATCTACAACTTAAGCCCCTTTTTTAATCACAAACCCTCGTACATTTCTATGAACATATGTAACTTTCGTACTACATAATCCTAGTGGGTTGATAGCCGAGATGGCTAACGCGTGCTGCTTGGTTTCATTTTTGTCGTCCCGGGTTCCAGTCCACGTAGATACCATAGATAAAATTTTTTTTTTATTACAATTAACTCACAATTAATTTGTATGATGACGAGATTAATTTTTATATTTATAATTTCAATATAAATTCTAACTTCATTAAGTATGAAGTTAGACCGATGTCTCGAGTTGGGTTCAATTCCTACTCAATGTTATGTTTTTCCTTTGGTTTTAACTTTTTTTTAGATATAATTTATAACCGTTATTTCAGAAAATAACTCATGTCTATTTATACAGCTCTTATTAATTATCTGGGTATGAGGATGCAGTTCCTTTTGACAGGGTATTATCACACAAAAGTGTAAATTTATACTATCGACTGATCTTTTTCAGGTACATAATCGTAATGAGAAATAATATTTATTTCTTGAACGGTTATAATATTGATTTTATGTCCAGAGAACACATTGGTACATGTGTTTTGACTTCAAATTTCGAACGTAGAAAGCATCTGACATTGACGTTAATATTTTAAAGATCACACGTCTTTTTATAGTCAATAGCGTTTCGATAATTACTAGAATTGATACTTTGCAAATCGAGCATTCTTCTGTTAATCTGCGTGCTTTAACATAATACACGCGTTAATATTAATGATTTAATACATCTATTCAATTTAAACAAATCATTTTAATAAGCAACTTCATAAATTATAGCTTTTATAGTATACATATAAAGTTAAGCTTAATAAATTGTAGCTTTTATAGTATACATATACAGATGTTACATACAAATAATATAAATGGGTAACGTAGATATATCAATATACTTTTGTTTATATAGAAAACTAAACAACACTATCGCATAACAGTTAACAGCCATTGCCTTATTTCACGTATACGCCACTCCTATAAATTATTTTCTCCTTTATTAATAATATTACTTTGATTATTTGCATAATTATGTAAAAAAACGAAAAAAATCTATTATATCCGTCTTGTAGATGTTCAAAAAATAAAAGACACGTATTTTTTGTTTATTTAATCAATTAAAAACTGGCCGAGAAAGAGCGCGATAAAGCTTTCCGTGACGTCACGATAACATAGCATTTGCATATATCCGAGTAATCGTGGGTACCTTTGGCACGCCGTAACTCAGTCAATTTTCTATTAATCGAAAAAAGAAAAAATACGTGTCTTTTAATTTTGTAAAATCTACAAGACGGATACAATGGAATTTTTTCGTTTTTTTTACATAATTATGCAAATAATCAAAGTAATATTATTAATAAAGGAGAAAATAATTTATAGGAGTGGCGTATACGTGAAATAAGGCAATGGCAGTTAACTGTTATGCGATAGTGTTGTTTAGTTTTCTATATAAACAAAAGTATATTGATATATCTACGTTACCCATTTATATTATTTGTATGTAACATCTGTATATGTATACTATAAAAGCTATAATTTATGAAGTTGCTTATTAAATTGATTTGTTTATTAAATCATTAATATTAACGCGTGTATTATGTTAAAGCACGCAGATTAACAGAAGAATGCTCGATTTGCAAAGTATCAATTCTAGTAATTATCGAAACGCTATTGACTATAAAAAGACGTGTGATCTTTAAAATATTAACGTCAATGTCAGATGCTTTCTACGTTCGAAATTTGAAGTCAAAACACGTGTACCAATGTGTTCTCTGGACATAAAATCAACTCTGAAGTTTAAGTATGATTTATCGATTACTCTAAAGTGATAAGTAAATCTTTTCTAAAAGCATTATTGACTAAATAAGGTCTGATGAAAATATATTCATGTAGAAGACGCCTAAAAGTTTATTTTATAAACATTAATATATTTAACATCATTTTCTTCCCGAAATTAGAATAATTATTAGACGGTTATATCACACTTAACGCAACGAGAATACGAAACTGTAGTGAATTACGGCTCCAACTTGAAAAAACAAACATATACGAATATATACTTAAAGAGCTCGTATTTTTAAGAGTAATAATTACAAGTTTCTGTTGATTATTTGAGGACCAGCAAACGTTCGATTTGTATTAGGAAACATTTTCTAGATGATATATATATACACAAATACTTATTGGTAGTCTTTTTTTAAACGTTGCCTTTTATCAAGCCACTTGTGAAGAAATAAATTTGGCAATGCAATGCACTCTATCATTATTTTGGCAAATAAAATTCTATTTTTATCGTGAAAATATATAAATGTCAAAGTCATGTATATTTAAAAAAAAAAGAAAATTCTAAGTGTGGATGAAGGAACTGAGCGGAAAATTGATGAAAATTGACGTAGAAAAATTATTTAAAAACTGCACATGATTGTGAAAGACCAATAAAACTTATTAACAATTACGCGCATTTTAGTTTTTGTTCATAAAAAAAAATTTTTTAAATTGAACATTCCGAGATCAGTAGAAACTGAATCTATGTAGCATATTGATTTAATTTTTATAGATATAAATGGGCTTAACAGTTAAGAAAATCCCGCGCACTTTTCTATCCAATCAAAATATTATAACCGTTCAAGAAATAAATATTATTTCTCATTACGATTATATACCTGAAAAAGATCAGTCGGTAGTATAAATTTACACTTTTGTGTGATAATACCCTGTCAAAAGGAACTGCATCCTCATACCCAGATAATTAATAAGAGCTGTATAAATAGACATGAGTTATTTTCTGAAATAACCGTTATAAATTATATCTAAAAAAAGTTAAAACCAAAGGAAAAACATAACATTGAGTAGGAATTGAACCCAACTCGAGACATCGGTCTAACTTCATACTTAATGAAGTTAGAATTTATATTGAAATTATAAATATAAAAATTAATCTCGTCATCATACAAATTAATTGTGAGTTAATTGTAATAAAAAAAAAATTTTATCTATGGTATCTACGTGGACTGGAACCCGGGACGACAAAAATGAAACCAAGCAGCACGCGTTAGCCATCTCGGCTATCAACCCACTAGGATTATGTAGTACGAAAGTTACATATGTTCATAGAAATGTACGAGGGTTTGTGATTAAAAAAGGGGCTTAAGTTGTAGATATTTGCTGTAATAATTAAGATATTTCGAGATATTTAATTATGAAAAAAAAAAAAAAATTGCATCAAGTGGGAATCGAAGCCTTTATTCTGGTCGAAGAGAAAAGATTTGCCGAGACGAAATTCTCTTCGAGTGCTCAAACTCGCACTCTTGCTTCGCCCCGCCCATCGGCTAACGTGATTGGTCAGACGCACATTCTCTTCTTCTCCTCTGTATATTAGACGCACGTTTGGTATTCCTCTCTCGCGCCGAACGAAAATGTGCGACAGCTTCGGTGCTTTGGCCACTACGGGGCGCTCGAACCAGTAACATTTGTCGGGCACGCTCGGAAGCATTGCCGTCAGCAATCTCCCTACTAATCTCTGACCCAACTAACTGTTTGGCAGCGTTTAATCCAGGGAGTAAGAGAGAAGGAGACCCCACTCATACGGCCGGCCAACAGAAATCTGCGACGTTTCCACCGGCAAAGATCTTCTTCTTCTTCTTTTTTCGTTGGCGTGCAATGGTTCAAGCTTTGCCGTGCCATCACCAGGCGTTAGTTTGGTGTTGTTTTATGTTTGAGTTTGTGTGAGTGAGTTGCAGCTCTTGATTTTAGTGCGTTTCGGTATGTTTGAGGCTGGTGGCCAGCACTGTTGTAGTCCAGTAAAAATAGGCCTGAAATGTTTTTGTCACAGAAGTGGATGCATTTTTGATATATGATAAATTGAGGTCGAAAAAGACGATTCTGAAATTTGCGGAGTTCTAGGTCCAGGGGTTCTATGAGAAAATCACGTTTGAAACTTGTTTTCGCCTGTATCTCGCGAATAGCTGAACGTACGACAAAATAACATGCATCAATCGAAAGAGCGTGAAATTTTACATCAGAAACAATGTTTAACCCGACATTGATGAGTGGAAAATGTTGGGATAAAAAATAAATAAGAAACTTTACGTGAATAAGGTAGAAGGGGAAGGCTGGGGAAGGCGAGGTATGGTTTCGCTCTCCTCCGCCGCCCCTCCAAGCGTGCGCAGACAATCGACGACACTCGGCAATCGTCGGCCTATAGCAGCCGAAGAGGGAAAACGTGCATGTACACGCGCTTGAATTCATTTTCGATATTTGGTGGCCCGCGATGGAGCGATGGTCGGAAACAAGTCTTATTATGATCTTTTAGGATTCTCTCTTTGCAACTAAACTAAAAAATACTCTCATCACAAGTACTTAAACGAATTAGCTTAACGTAAGCCCCACCTCTTCTAAATGAACATATGTAACATCCATATCATTCAAATAACATGTGACGATAGCCGAGGTAGCTAAAGCATACCATCACTTTTTATTTTCGTGGTAGCGTGTTCGAATCCCATTGAACATACTTTTTTTAAGCATTTTTTTTCTGTA